AGTTGCTCCACGTCCCGCCTCTCCACCGACAACCCTACCCTCGGCCTGCAGGTGTGGTCTCAGTAAATAGTACGACTTTACCAGCTTTCTTTTTTTTGCATTACAAACGTCTGACAAAACATCCAGTGGAGCTACAATCGGGCTAGTTTCAATGGCAAGAGCTTGGTGGTAGGCGGACACACGGGTTCCTTTCCAGCAGGTGTGGTGCTTGTCGCGACTGCAGTAAGCCATCACGCGCGGGACTTTATAGATGGCCTTGAAATAGGCTTTCTCGAACTCCTGCGATGGTGCCTGTAATGGCAAACGTGTGGATCTGGGGAGTTCTCGACCTTGAATTGCGGGGAGTCACTACATCCATAGCAAGCTAGCAAGCTAGCAAGCATCCATGACCACCAGACGCAATCAATGACTGCAAATGCATAGTAACTTTCAGCAAATCAGATGGCATTCAGTAGCACCCTTCCTGCATTGTTCAAATGACGTATATTGCGGCCTTAAGCCTTGGCCTTTGGCTAAGGAGTGGAGAGTTGGCCATGGTCCTCAACCTCAATGGCGGGTTGCATCCGCACCCTGCATGCCAGCTTGGCGCTATGGCCAACTCATGCTTGAAGCTGGGAGATGTCATATCCCAAGTAAAGTAGTTGGTGAATATGTATGGATGAATGAAAGTGTCGTTCCTTCGGGTGCAAGTTCCATGGCTTGCTCCTGTGGTTGTGTTGTGTCTTCCCCGAAACACCAGAATCCTGTCCTTCCTATGATTCAAAAGATTGATCTGCAACTCAAGGCAGATCATCAACATTTAGTAAAACACTCTCCTCCAATGAAGTGAAACCGTCTCTCCCCATTCGTCGCAATAACTGGGCTGCTCGCGACTTTGCTTTCTCTGCGGTAGAGAGATCGCGGTAGTTGTGGAAGTTCTCCACGAAATGTTTGTTGGAAAACTCGCTGCGCAAAATGTCAAGCACGGCATCGAAGTTGAAAGGCTCGGCCCACGCAAACACTCGTTCGCCTTGGACCTCTGGCAACACAGCGCAGGCAACATGAAGCCTCGCGGTGTCTTCAACATCAACAAAGTGCTCTAGATTCGTCATTAGCTAAGTCGCCAGATGACGATACGAAATAGAACGTACGTGGTGGACTACACGCCAGTTGGTCCATGTTAATTCCGTACCACAGACTTTCGACGAACGATGATGTTGAAGGGTGGCCTTGGTTGATAACGTCGAGGCTCCTGCCGAAGTTGCAGCTAGGGAGCACTTTCAAATCATCAGCAAACTACTTGCTAACAAGACTGGCAGAGAAACTACCTGTGTTGACGACCAAGTCTGGACGGCAGCTTTTGTCTTGGTTGTAGAATTTCCAGACAGCCCTCTCCGCTTCAATCTTGCTTGCCGCATACACGTGCCATGCTTGATGCGGATGAGGCTTCCCCCACGCAACCGCAACTGACTCAATGTTCCAGCTTGTTGTTGTCACCTCTTCGCCTTTCTGACCAGGCTTGGGTAGAGCCGCTGCAACCGACGAGCTTGTCAAGACGAATCTCTTGACAGTTGGCGATCTGTTGGCTGCTTTGAGGGCATTCATGGCGCCGTTGATGCTGCTCGGAATGACGCTCTCTGGGTCGGGACTCAAAGACACTGGCGAGGCCACGTGGATGACAGCCGAAACGCCTATGCACAAGTCATTAAAAAGAAACCAGACTCTTCTACTCCAAAAACCAACCATCAACAAGAGAATCAAAGGCCCCCCCGTCCTCCAGGTCCGGCAGAGAGGCCAGCGTGAAGCAACCTTTCGGGTTGTCCCTCTCCATCAAGTCCTCGACCCAAGCGTACTTTGTCGGATCTCTGACGGTCCCGCGGACATCGAAACCAAGCTGCAGCAGTTGACTGCAGACATGGGAACCGATGAAGCCATTCACACCCGTCACAAGAACGGTAGAGCCCTCTGGAATGCCAAAGCTCCCTTCCGACTGCATGTTGACGTTATTGGTGGTTGGTGATCGTGTGGGCCGGATAGGACGCGGTGGAAGACGTCAAAGGTCTCGAGGTGCAGGAAAGCTGCTCGGTTGCTGTAGATCTTAAGTCGATCATGGCTGTCAAGACCGTCTAGGGTGTCATGAGCCATCCCGGGGAAGACGGCAAGAGGAAACTGCAATGAAACAGTGGCATGTCAGTTAAAAAACGCCTCAATTCGAAAATTCATTGCAAAGCGATTACTTTTCGTTTCTTTTCGTTTTACCCCGCCACGAGAAATTTTTATTTATTTTGGGTGGAGGGGGGGTTTCGTCTTTGACACTTTTGTGACATTTGTCAAGTGGCTTGAAACGCAACTCGCCCAGAAACCGCTGTCGTTGAGTGCCAAGTGGGACTCCTGAAAATCCCCAAGATGGGGGGCTGTGGGCGACCTTTGAATTCTGACATCGTGTCAAACCCTGCCAACAGGCACAATAAGCCGCGGTGTTTTCCTGACAATTGTCCATGCACGCGATCCAGATCGTCGGTAGCAACGAAAAATCGGGGAAGAATTAATAATTAGAAATCGCAGGTCCTAGACCGTGCACGAATTGGGCAGTTGGCCGGGAAAGTCGAGACACCAAGACGGGAAGCTAGCCAGGATGAGAAACGCGAAACGCAGCAAGACGATCGATAGGAATGACGACGCTGTGATGAACCCCTGGGCAGATCATTTCACTTGGCCAGTTACGATAATCTCTCTTCGCTCGCGTCTGAGCGCTCGCAAGAAGGAGGCCGCCATTGGAGCGCCTGGCTGCTGTGCCATGGGCTTTCAAACCTCCAGAGAGGGGAACGGGGTCGAAATCACGACATTTTGCACCTGTGGCGCAGATCCAAAATTGGCTTCAGGTTGATCATCCAATCCTGGTTGACAGAAAAAGTGGTTGTTTGAGTCTAATTGGACAGTAGCGGTTGTCGGAGATCCAAGACGCATACACAAGAAATCGTGACCCTCTTCTTGCAGGGCTGGGGTATGAGCTCGGGCGGGATCTGGATCAAGACAAGGCATGCTGCATTTCAGCTCGACTCTTGGGAGTCCGAAGTGTCTCGATGCGGAACCATGTGCCTTATCTCGGTCTAGGCGCGGGTTCCTGAGACTTGATTGACATGTGAGCTGGTCCCAGATGTGTCATAGCACCAGGAATCCTTGACTAACACCGAGTCTTGGGACGAACTGAAGGGACGGCAGCTCTGCATAAGAGTCGTCGATAATTGGCACATCGACGGTTGTTAAAATGCCAAGTATGTGTCCATTTTACTTTAGAAGACGACAGTCCAAGATTGACAGATTACAATGAACCTACCACCAGAGAGCTCGTTGAGTCTTTTAGAGCAAAAGTAATCAGTCACCAAACTCAACAAGAATTCGGGAATGAACTCTGAAAAAAGGGATTTGGAGAAACGGGTCTTGGCTTGAAAACAGCCAAGCTTCTCGGCAAAACGAAACTGGCAAGCTACCTCGGAATCGAGCAGACATCAGCGTCAGTCAAATTCGCGTGGGTACGGGTTGCTGTACCTTCAAAACCAAACAAGAAAAGAGATGACGATCAAAATCAGCCCGTCTATTACTGATACACATTACTATTCGCAACCGATGTTCCCTTTTCACAAGCCACCGTCTCAGTCGCGCACATCTATGGCTTCTTGACAAAAGCACTGTCCCTCAGCCAATCTTCCATGCTAGTCACACCGGGATGAACCTTTTTAGCTTCCGCCATTTTAGCTTTGTAGCCATCGTTCTTGAACCAATCCACCATCACACCGATCTCCGAAACTCCATGCTTCAGCGCCTTGCCAAGCAGTCCGAAAGTCGTCCCAGTGCGAGCGCCCGTGACCTTCTCGAAGGTCTGGCTCAGCTGCGCGTAGGTCAACTCGTCTCCCGCGATTCCAAAAGCTTTCTTGTTCCACGTAGCCGGCTGATGGAAAGCTTTCGCCGCGAAGAAGCCGATATCCTTCGTCGCGATCCACTGCAGAGGCTTATCCTTCATGGTGTCGCGTAGCATGGTGAAGAAGACTTTGCCGAAGAAGCCCGGCAGAAGGTTGTCCATGAAAATTACTGGGCGGATGATCGTCCATCCCATGGGACTTTTTCCGTTCGCCGTGGAGTCGCGCAGATGATGTTCAATCTGATGTTTTGTGATGAAATGCGGTACCGGAGTGGGATTGCTCCATGACCTCTCGTCGCCGCCACGTTCCACACTGCTGTAAACAAAGTGCTGCACGCCGGCCTTGATCGACTCATCTACAAGAGCCTTCCCCTGCCTGGTCTCGTGGTCTGCATTCTTGCTGTTCGTCTGAAGAGCTTGCACGGAAAAAACACCCCACAGAGGAACAGCCCCGGCAGCGGCTTTGGCGGAGGCGAAGAGTGCGGGTGTCGCGTCGAGGTCGCCTTCAACGAGTTTGATATTCTTGGATTTTGCGGCCAGACTCTTGGCTGAGGCGGATTGGGCGTTTCGTGTTACTGCGAGGAGAAGAAAGTCCGACGGCTGGCGAGCAAGGAGGGCGTTGATGACGGCGCCGCCTTGTTTGCCGGTAGCGCCGGTGATGAGAAGTGCGCGTGACATGTCTTCAGTTCAATGGTACCGAACAGATTTAGAAGACGTGAATGGAAGATGAGAAAATGGTTGGATTTTGATGAAGATGGAAGAAGTCGCACAATTTGGACGGCCGTTCCTTCAAATAATGATCACTTGCTACAAATTTCATAACTTATTATCCACTGAAAAGCCCTTCAAAGCATTTGCACGATTCAGTACACTTTTCCATTAAAATCTCTGAGATGACAAAGTCGGATGGTCTACCACACCGGGTCGGGCTACTTGTGATTACGGCAGCAATCACATCGGACATGGTCGGAGGCCGGTGCTCCTGACGGCGGGAGATCCACCCGGCGTCGGCCCGGTCAATCTGCCCACAACCTCTCGCTATTTTCGGTAGTCTTGTTGTCCCGTTTCAGTGCAGGATCCTTGACGCTGCGTCATCAGATAGATGGGTAATTGGTATTGACCTGGTGCGAACGGGTGCTTTTCGGAGCTCTGACGGACCAACTGATGACACATGCGGCGTCTCGTGGAGGGCTAGTTCAACTTGAGAGATCAAGTGATTATCATTTATCAGAGAAAGATATTTAGAGACCAAATAGCATCTTCCTGACAAAGACATTAGTTTCATTAAACAACTTCTTCGATCATCACTTCTCCAACAACTTATCACCCCATCAAAATGACTTTCACCGTCGCCGCCTGCTTGCTTCCAAACTCATCCAAAACCCCGATGTTACCCTCCGAGGCTACTGCCGTGACCCCAAGAAGGTCATCGCGCCCTTGGCATCTTCCCCACAAGTTGAACTCTTCCAAGGTGAAGCCTACGACGAGGAAAAGATCCGAAACTTCGTCAAGGGCTCCGACGTTGTCATCTGCGCATACCTTGGTGACGATAGGCTCATGGTCGAGGGGCAGAAAATGCTCATCGATGCATGCGAGTCTGAGGGAGTTTCTAGGTACATCGCCAGCGACTGGGCTCTGGACTATACCAAGCTCGAGCTCGGCGAGCTCTTCCCCAAGAACCCCATGAAGCCCGTGAAGGCGTACCTTGAAACCAAGAAGTCCGTCAAGGGCGTTCACATTCTCATCGGGGGCTTCATTGACGCCATCATGAGCCCCTTCTTCTCGGTCATCGACCCTGTAACGCACACGTTCTAGTACTGGGGTGAGGGCACTGAGCGGTTGGCAGGGTACCTCTTACGAGAATGCCGCTGAGTATACGGCGGCGGTCGCGACCGATCCTTCCGCTGTTGGTGTGCAAAGGTGTAAGTCAAGCTGTCCCCTTTTAATATGGGCTTTTTCTAGTAACTTTCAGTCTTGGGAGACAGAAAGATCATCAAAGAAATTGCGGCCTCTTTTGAAAGGGTCTACGGTATTAAGCCGCATATGGAACGCTTGGGCTCGATTGACGATCTCAAGTCCACCATGCACCGCGCCCAGGCGGAGAATCCGTCCGACATTTTGAAGTACATGTCTTTGTAGGTCATCCAGTCGCATGTAATGACAGTCACTAACCATTATCAGGTTCTACATGTACTACTGGGTCAATGGTCGGACGTTCGTTGGACCCGATATTCAGAATGAAGAGTATCCAAATGTCAGTCCTGTCGCGTGGGAGGATTTCATGAAGGCAAACAAGCTGGAGGAGCTTTCTGGAGTGTTTTCCGCGTAGGAACTGACAAAGAAAGACACTTGGTTGATGACCTACATGGTAGAAGCAGACGAACTGGAATCTTGAGCTTAGGCATTCAACGCTAAGAATAGTCTCCATTTTCCAGATTACTTGTATGTTGGTCCGAATCGCTCAGCTCACTGAACACTGCATGGGTACTCCTCCTTCTCCTCCTTCTTTAGCACGCCATTCCTGTAATACAACTCGATCAATGGTGTCCCTAACCCTCTTGTCTTTGGCGCGACTAATTCGATCCCATATCTCGCTGCAATGCCCTTGGCGGGGTCAGCAACGAACTTGTCAAAATTCTCGTTGAAATCAACGGAAAGCTTCCTCATCAATCTTTCGGTGCCGACCCGTGGCACGTCTTCAATGAGCTCCTGCAGTATTCCTTGATATCCGGTTTGACCTTTCCAGTATTCTTGAGGCTGGAGGTATGTACGGCGAGTGTGGCAGTGATGCAACATTAGCGCAAGGTCGTACTCATAGTGTGAACGAGCTCCCATATAGCTCCTCGCAGGCGAGACAAATGACAACCTCCAAAACCAATTGCTGGCGCTCCGGATGATGAACTTGTCAGGTTCTACTTGGGCACAGCTTTGGGCAATTTCACTGACCACGGCACAAATTGTATGCCAAATGGGCCAGTTACGCTTCCATGCATCTCCTGTAGGGCGCCCCTGGTCATCGAAGAACCTTTCTACCCGCACAGGGTGGGCTGCCATGCCGTAGTCCACGAGGAGCATATGCTGAAATATAGAGCGGGCGGTACGATCGAAGTCTATGTTTGACTTTCCGACTAAGCACATCAAGTCCCTCCAAGTGCTCATTTTCGAGTGATACTGGCCTTGTAGCTCCACATTCGGATGAGTGTCTCCTTGGCTTCCTTTCTGCAACTGAATGTCATAGATTATAATGGATACGGCACCAAAGAATGGTTTTCTTATGGAAGGCTGACTGAATGGCATTGTTTCCTCGAGTTGTCTGCCATGGCAGAATCCAGAATGAAGCTGTTGCATGGCTCGCTTCCATGCCTGGCTTGGTGGTCTTCCCAGCATTGCTGTGTACTCGAATCGTTCAGGGCGAATGGCACTAGAATCCGTTCGCCAAACCTTGCGGCTGTCCCATCTCGGTAGGTAGACAGAGTTGGCTCAGTTTCTCGAGCTCCAGATCTTCCCATTCATGAAGAGGAGGTAACGGCTTCCCTTCTATGAACGGACTTGAGCTGTCGATTGCGTTGGTTTCAGAATCTGCTGTAGGTTCCAATTGCTTTTCGTCGGTTTCTAACTTTGGATCTTTCAGTTCGTGAAGTATCGGCAGGGGTTCCATGACCCCTTCTCCGAACGAAGTCGGGCCATCTTTTTCGGATTCAGTCGGACAGCTGTTTACGTCCGTTTCCAAGGAGCTTTCCGGGCCCGAACAAAAAGAGATCAAATCATCGGACTCTGGCTCCATGATCTTATGAAAATACGCCGCAAAAGGACAGACACGTCAAATTAAAAGTTGAAGTCGATCTGAAGATCGATTGGATATGAGATGGGGCAGTACGAAATCCTTGAGGACGCCTACCTATCCCTTTGTTTGCTCTCAAGGTCCTCACCTACATCGGCGAATGACACTTGGGGACACTTTCGTTAATGTCCAGGCAGCGCCATCATTATGCTCCTTCTCCCGCCGTTGCGGTTCACTCGTACGACAAAATGTCCGACGTTTCACCTGAAAATATAGAGTGTCTTCAGTTGATGACTTCGCGGGCCGGTTCAACTCATCCAGCGAAGGGTGTGCCGAGGGCGGAGACGTTCCCATTTCCAAAACCACCAACAACAATAAGAAGTGGAAGGTCCTTTCCGTCACCAATGAGAATGATCACAGCGACAAAAGACCGGGGAGTCTAACTAAAACATAGCATTGCAATAGCCAGAAAGTGGATTTGACGCGATATGATTTCTGCCTAGTGCTCAGCTTCCTATCAAGGTTGGCTCTTTCTTCCCTAGTGTTTATAGTGCATTTGAGAACGAGTTACATTAACATGAGCATCTGTCTTGCTCTCATCAATGAGCGTCTTCGCTATCGTCCTTGCCTTTGTCGCTATTGCCGTCCGTCATCGTCGTCCGTCATCGTCGTCCGTCATCGTCGTCCATCGTCGCCCATAGTTTATAGGTGGACTCACTTCCTAAGTAGAAGGAAGATAAACAAACATCTTTGCTTCACACATGGCTGACAGGCTTCGGTCATCATAGCAACGTTGTATCTCAAGCCACAAACCTTTGAACTATTGCCGAAGAAGTCGAACATCTACTTTCTCTTAGACAGCCTCTTCAAAACAAAGACTTGTCATACAGTACCAAGGCTTTCAGCAAACTATGTGTACTCTCCTCAGACATCAACGGAAGAACTGCAACTTTTCAAACTGAAGTCAAAACCTGCAGCATGTTGTCGACCTCACGGGTCCCAAACATCACAAAGTCTGTGTGTGCCGTATGCCAAAAGCAGTACCTTACATCACCCCGTCGAGAGTTCTCAATCAGGTCAAATACCGTTCTGGCTCAGGAGCACCCAAATTCATCACTCTTCCGCCTCTCATGCTCCGCAAATCAAGCATTTGACACAGCCCACGAAGCTCTTGCCAGGCTTCCTCGCCGTCAGCATGCTACTGCACCACCTGGTACCACAATGCTCAGCCGAATGACACAAAATATGCCCTACCACTCGACCAGAACATCACGTAGTCAGCCAAATCGCGCACAACAGACATCGCCGCCATGCCTGACCGCATCGAGTCAAACTTTACCACATACAAATTCAATCAAGCCAACACAATGGGCCACACGCAATGAGCTACACCCAATGTCACTGACTACCACGTATACCAGGCCATCAAGCCCTCCTACCCAAGTCACATACCTACTCAGATTCTAGTTAGATCATAAATGTAGATTCCCTCCACTCCATGCTTCCAAGTTGCTCACCCCTCGCGTACTCTGTTCTCAATCTCATCCGTATGCAGCCATCTCATCACCATCGAGGGCACTCAAGACTGAAACCGCTTGACACTCGACCGTTGTCCGCACAACGTACCACCCGTCTGTATCCCCCGAGATCTCACCTTTGTGCGCCCAGCCCCTGAATCAAATCTTTCGAGAAACTCACCGTCTCAGTAGAAAAACCTGCTCCAAGCCAGCACCCTGCTTCTTCCCCATAGAAACCTAACTTCCAATCAACCAGAACCCACCAAACCAACTTCGTAAATCACCACCTCGTCAAGCCATGGTAAGCCCCCCCCTCCGCCTACCTCACCTCACCCATCTAACACCCCCAGAAACTCCCCCTCATAAACCTCCTCCTCCCACCCTCCCTCACCACCCACTCCGCCCCGACCATCCGCTCCGTCCCATCCTACTGGACATGCACCGCCTCCACCACAACCACTCTCCCGGGCCCAGGCCTACCCGCCCTCGCCGCCATCAGCGACGTCTTCACCGCCCTCTACGGCCCCGAGTCCATCACCCTGCGCGCCGAGCAGGCCCGCGTGGCGACCTGCAACGGCCTGCTCTTCGGTCTCTGGAACGGGCACCCGTACACCGTCACCGAGCCGGAGGGTCTGCGGGCGGAGGTTGCGACGCGGGATCCAGGGGTCGGCGGGGAGTGTCTTGGCCATGCGGACCAGGAGACCGGGGTGGATGATGATTTGAGGCTGAGTTACATGTTTGGGTTCGCGGAGGACTCGTGGGTTAGTGGCGGGTTGACGGAGATTCGGCGGTGTGAGGATTATTAGTAGACTAGGCACCATGCACGTTCACACGGATAGAAGCTCAAAAAAGGGAAAAGGCAGAGTTTGGAGAAAGTTCACATGTAATTCATATCTAATGATGATACCTCGTCCTGCCACCGCCGCCGAGCCCCGAGGGGTACCGCCGCCCGTTCATCGCGAACGGGACGGGCTTCCTCGAGGGCTGCACGGTCGTGATGGCGTCCCACATCTGGCGGATGCCGGCCCTGCGCGCGGGCAGCATGCTGTACTGCAGGCTGTACAGGTTCTTGCGGTTGAGCGGGGGCACAAAGCGGCCTGTCAGGAGGCAGAGTAGCACCTGCGGGGACAGGTAGTGCTTGCGGATGCGGTTGCCCATTTGGAAGTACTGGTGGAACATTGCGCGGAAGGTGAGGGGAATGGACTGCGTAATCTGTTAGCGAGCGCATTTGTGAGGGTGGGCAGGGGTTGCTTACCTTGAGGTAGATGACGGACGTGGGTGGTTCGTTGGAAGTATTATTAAGTCTATAATCATGGGTATCTCGAAGTTCAAAACGAATGCCGCCTGTTCATGTTAGTCGGATGGCTTCTCAGTTAGATGCAGTTTAGGTCTCACCTGGAAGTCGTCGAGGGTCTTTGACCCGTAACATCAGCGCGAAAAGGGGAAAGTGGTTTAAACAAGAAAGAAGCGTATCAAAGACGGCTTTGAGGGAGATGATGACCATGCGGGCGATGGCGAAGTTCAGGTAGAACACAACCACCGTTGGCAGGAGGAAGAAGAGCAGGGTGAAGAGGATGGTGCCGACAAGCAGCTGGTCCAGGTCGTAGTCGCACGAGTCGATACGGTTACGGAGGACATTGTGCTTCTTGCCGCGGAAGAGGTGAAAGAGCGAGATGAGTATCGTCAGTTGCCAGTGGTAGATGCGGGCGGATGCGAGGTAGAACGAGTAGATGTGGACGGTTAGGGCGGAAAGGAGGTCGGAAAACATGGCGATGGGCATGCTGGCGCCGGCGAAGCTTGAGAAGCCGATGAACCAGATGATGTGGGGAAGCACTGGTTGGAGGGTGACGATGCAGTCTGAGACGTTAGTACAGAGCTTTCATCTGATACGGGGAAACCCACTGGACCAATAGTCAATGACCCAAAGGAAGAGGTCACCGAGGAACATAGCCAGCTCGCTGTTCAGCTTCAATCCGGCAGGCCATCCCATCAACCACGAGATGCTGCGTTGAAGCGCTTGAACCGTGTACTTGCTGAGGAGCTCGCTGATGGCATTGGCAACCCATTCCGCATTATCGATAATGTAAGACCCCAGAGCGATGCCGATGATGACGTCGTTGGCGACGAGCCACAGGCTGTTGTAGAACCTTATGTAGTCCGGGTGGCTTGTCGTGACGCTTTCCCAGTCGTTTTTGCGCTGTCGCAGCGTCGTGTACTGCATTGGCCAGTAGCAGAATTGCTGCAACCGAATTTCCACCTGCTGCGCCGTCGCCGAGATATCCTTCAACGCCAAGTAGTTGTCCTTCAACCTGAACTCCAAGATCTGAAGCAGAAACTCGGCAACCGCTCTGTGGCCCATGAGCATGTAGACGAAGCCCCATTGTATCAGCGGGAGGAGGTAGAAGATGAAGAGATCCCACACAAAGTTGCGCATCGTTGTCGCTTGTTCCACCACTCGTTCCGAGACACTCAGAGTCCGCTTAGGCCTGGTGCCGATTCGAGAAATGTTCTTCTGCAACAGCTGTTCGAGCTCCCAGGACCAGTTGATCTGGTTCACGATTTTCGGCAGAGCTCTCTCCTTCGGTGACGGGGACCGCTTGACAATGGTGTGTTGCTTAAGCTTTTCCACCAACTTCCTCTTTTGCTCCTTCTTCTTCAACTCGTGTTTCTCCTCCTCCGCCATGTGTTCTGTCGGGGGTAGGCTCGGTGCCTCCTTGTTGCCCAGCGCAAGGGAGATGGGGTTCAACGAGATGTATTGCATGCGGCTGGGGCGCGGTCGGTCGTAGAGGATGATCTGTATGCTTAGAGCTCTGGCGCAAGTGATTCGAGGTGCCTTCGCGTTGGCTGGGGTCGTCGCAACAAATAAGGATGGGTCCAGGACCACCGCATCACTCGGGTTGGTGAGGCCCAAGACATGCATAGCTCCGTGGCCGCATCGCTCGTAGATGCTGTTGACAGGGTGCGGGGAGTTTCGAAAGAGGGTTCCCGCCTTTAGGGCGAATTCGACATGACCGGCCTGTTGCTTCGTCAATTGGTGTCCATTTCGTCGGTCAAGGTGTTGGAGCGTGCTGACATCAACATCGTCAAGGATGGCTACGACGAAGACGTCTAGGCTCGAGTTCCTCCATCCCACGACAACGCCAGGCAGGTCGGAGCGCTGGATGTCCGTCGGCCAGAATATCCTCATTAATCCATCATTCTCTGGCATGTCAACCACGCACGCAGCAGCGGGAGGCGACACTTAGAAGGACCCTCGCCGTCGCAACTGTTCCCTGGCCGAGACGCCAGCTCCGGGGGATCTGGGATGCTAAAGGGTGAGGTTGTTGTCAGCTGGAAGCTTCTTTGCGCCGGCGCAACCACACATGTCTCAGGGGCGAGTATCGGGGGAATTCGTCGTACCAGGTTCGACTCCCTCGTGGCCAAGCGTTCCACGGGAATGAAGACGAGGAGGAATACAAAGGTCAGGAGCGCAAAGCCTTTGGCAGCGCGGGTCTATCGAGAGAGAGCTGGTCAGAGGAGTATGAGGTTGGGAAGGGCGCAGGGAGGTCCCTACCACGACTCCGTAGTTCCAAGCAAAGATGGCAAGCTCATAGAGGCGAGTGACCAGATCCCATCGGGCGGTGATGTAGCCTGCTACGAAGATCCCAAGGCTGAGGACGGAGAGGGGGTGCATAGAATCGCTATTCCCTTGGGTGGTGCATGCCGAGGCTTGTCGCCAAGCTGATTGCGGTGCGCTTGGGGTTCGGAGGAGGGACTCGAGGCGGTCTTGCGGCTGCGGGCTTGCGATTGCGGGGGAGCCAAGAAGGGGGAGCTTTCGAAGGTCGAGGGGGGCGAGATCGCGAGCTGGATTCGAGCTTGGAGGGGTTTCCAGGCCTTTCGAAGACGAGATATGACGACGTGACCAGAGGAAGACTCGACTCGAGATAGGCTGGTGGTACAGGACAGCCGTGTTTATCGCGCGTTGTCTGGGGAAGGAGAGGGACTGGACAATTGGAGCGGACGGGGGGGTTGGTCCTTGGATGTCGGAGACGGGGTCGGGAGGTGGGCAAGGGACAAGCTTCGCGCGTGGAGAGGAGGCTCGCAAATCGGGGATTGGGCCTGGGTGGTGTGGCCCGGGACGGGAATTGGCAATGTAATTATTGGCGACAGCGGACCGCCTGTTTCCTTCTGTTCCCCCGGTCTTTGCAGCGATGTCCTGCCGCTAGCGAATGCTGTCGTTAGCGGGTCGAACCTGCTAAAGCGCTGCGCTGCCGCTCGGTATTGGGCGAGCAGAGGGCGACCCACCGAACTGGACACGGTTTGCTGCGCGGTGTGTGTGGCCTTTTTTTTTTTTTTTTTCTTCCTTCCCCCTCCTTGACACTCCCGCAGAAGCCTGTGACGGCGATAGACACAGGGGGCCGCTAAGGGGACACGGCACAAACCTCAGTGGATTCACTGGATTGGGGGCCAGTTGCAAGCTTCACATTGTCTTGACTGGGGTGTGGGCGGTCTGGAACCTGGAACAACCCGCCCTGAGCTGCTTCTGGATTGGCCGAATTCTGGCCCCTGCTTTGACATTTGACGCAATCCGGGACTGGGAACAATGTTTCTTTCCTCCCAGAGACGGACTCGCAGTTGAGCGACGAGAATGGAAGAAAATTGTGCAACCACGTGGGCCCTCGGAGTCTACAAGACGCTTCCCGACTGCGGTGCTTTCGTTGGTTGATATGACGGATCATCAGTTTCAATATTTTCAGATCTCCTCACAGCATGCATCAAGTTGATGGAGACCCTGGCTGATCTCAATCTTTGCCGTTGGCAGTGCTGCCAAGTACATTGCAGTGTACCTTTGGAACAGCATAACGATGATGCCACTTGCGAAATGCACTGCCATCATACTTTCTTCTCTGTTTAAAGCTTCCCCGTCCACACAGGGGATTATCTCGGGGAGTTCAAGCTTACGCTAAGGTTATCTGTCCAGGGATAACTTAGTCTTGGGCGGCTCACGAATGATGAAATGCAGAGAGACACGGCGGTTGGACGCGTCATGGGGAAGAACGGGGCATATTTTGAAATTACGGTTCCTACACTGCCACCTTGTGCCCAACAAATACAACCCTGGAAAACGCCAAACCGACCGCGAGATATGTTGCTAGTTGGATCACGTCCTGCATGAGTGGTCAGATTGGCCTCCCATCACGTAGGAATTGGGATAACTCACATTTGCGGCCCAAGTACGTCGCGTCGCTCTCTTTGCTGTCCTCCCGTGCCTCGTCCAGAAGCTTGTCTATTCCGCGTTCCTTCAACGCCACCTGCGAAGTTGCCCACTCAGCTCATCCTGGCCTAGACCACCACACGCAACAACAGATGCTACTCACCGTCAGGCACTTTTGGTAGTTCTTGAACAAGTCAGCGCACTCATTGTTGTCCGTGCCGGTGCCCCTCAGGTACTCTACACCTACGTCAGATATAACTCACAAACAGCCATAGGGGAGGGGGGTATGGGAACAAGACTGACTTTCGCTGTACCATTTCAGGAAGCATGTGTCGTAGCGTCTGTGACCGTTGTCAGTTTGAGCTCTACAAATATTTCACCCGGCGACTCACTCCTTGACTTCATTGCATTCGGGTGCTAACGAGGCAGACATGGTGGATGTTGTGTTACGGATGTCACGGAGAACGTGAGATGAAGTTGAGGGAGGGCGGCGAGAAATCGAGGCAAAATCGTCACGGCTTTTCCTTAGGCACTCAACTGCGTCACAGCGGCTGCATCCGCTGTAAGTCTGAGGCTCGGCTGAATGTCAGCACCTTACCCTCGACTTCCTATCCGCCGCATCTCTTTGATTGAGGCCAAAATTTACTCAATGAAGTAAAATACATGTATTTTGTCTATTTCTCATAGCCACAATCATTTCAAGAACCTTGATTCTCCGGCTCTTCCTGCTGACCATACACAACTATGCATTTCTACGTCAGTGACAGCTGAATCGTTGCTTACCTCATCCCCAGATATCGATAAGACGGATGAGTGGGGCATGCTATCTTATCGGCAAAGGACCTCTCCCAATTGGCATAATTTTTGATCGTCAAACTTCGCAGCCAAAGCCGCGACCAACGCTCACGACACCTCAAGCGTCGCGCCGACACCATGACCTCCCCCCAGGACTTCAAGTCTCTCCAGGAGAAGGTGCAGTCCGCGCTTGTGGCCACCACCCGCTCGGTGAACCGCATCGCCGCCGAGGACCTTGCTTTCCAGCGCGCCGTGAACCCTGGCGTGGGCGACGACCTCGACGCCAAAACCGAGCGCCTCCTCGAGCTTTCCACGACCCTCCTCAAGTCGGCCGCCAGCGTCTGCGGCCTCAATGCGCCCAACCTCGAAGATGCCGACGACATTGATATGCGCTGGCGGAGCGTTGTGGACGTAGTGGACTCGGTGCTGGAGAAGGCCGACACCTCGATCGACGAGTACACGGGAGCTATCAAGAGGAAGGATGCGCCTACCGCAGATGTGAGTGCATCAAGACGGAGAAAGGAGAATTTCGATTGCTAAAGACTTGCGCAGGCTTCCCAAGCGAAGAAGGCAAAGACTACCGGAACTGATAAGGTCATCCGCAATGCCAACATCTCGAAACCCCAGCTCAACTTCGATCCCCCTGTCGACAACAATGCGACATGGAAGCCCATTCTCACCGAGAAGCCCCACGCCAAGGTACCGCTTGAGCAAAGTTTGGTATCCAACGAGACGGACGGCTTTGTTACGTACGACTACACCATTTTCTTGCCTTTACTTCACATGGACGAATCCACACACTCCAAGCAGAATAGATCTCGCATAAACAAGCGCCACAAGACAAGAGGTTCAATCCAGAGTAGTAACGGAGAGATTAGGTACAAGCACCCGTACGAAGCCGAGATCCTCGAAGCGAAATACCCCGACCGCGTCTATCAACAAGCCGAACCGATTCCCTGGCAACCCGTCGACAAAACCGAGGCGACATGGGTCGATACCTTCGAGGGCGTGCTGGAGATGTTGGAGGAGCTCAAGAAGGCCAAGGAGATCGCTGTCGACTTGGAACATCACGACTTCAGGACATATGTAGGACTCACATCACTGATGCAGATCAGCACGCGCGAGAAAGACTGGGTTGTCGATACCCTGAAGCCTTGGAGACAGCAGCTCCAGGTTCTCAACAAGGTGTTTGCCGATCCAAGCATCGTCAAAGTAGGCTTGCCTCCAACTCGCCTATGCACAGCGCTAACGAGACTAGGTTTTCCACGGCTCCTACATGGACATTATTTGGCTGCAGCGCGACCTCGGGCTGTATGTGAACGGCCTCTTCGACACATTCTATGCTTGCGAAGCCCTCCACTACCCCCAAAAGAGCTTAGCATTCCTGTTGAGCAAGTTTGCCAACTTTGATGCTGATAAGAGATATCAAATGGCCGACTGGCGCATGCGGTTAGTAGAGTCTAAGGGGTTGACGCACACATCACTAACACTCGACAGCCCATTGTCCCCGGAAATGCTTTACTACGCCCGCTCTGACACACATTACCTCCTTTACGTCTATGATAAGGTCCGCAATGAGTTGGTGATGAAATCTGACCGCGGTAACCCTGGAACCGATTACATCGAGACTGTTCTCCAGAAGTCCAAGAGCCAATCTCTGTCTCGATACGAGGGTGAACACTTTGACCCGGTCTCTGGAAAGGGTCCCAAGGGCTGGTACGGCCTCTTGCTCAAGCACCCAGCGCCCTTCTCAGGCCAGCAGTTTGCCGTCTACAGGGCTGTTTGGGCCTGGAGAGATGAGGTGGCGCGGAGAGAAGACGAAAGCACCGCATACGTGCTCCCCAACGCGATCATTGGCGACATCGCCAAGCGCATGCCGCCTGATGCGAAGGCTCTGCACGCCCTCATCCCCCCCAGTTCCTACATTGCCCGACGAAATGTTAGCGATATCTGGGCACGGTACCAAGAAGCGAGGGAGCGCGGTGTGGAGGAGCCGAGCCTGTACCATTTCTTCCGGTCGGATTTGCCTTCTCGCCCAGTCAAGCTATTGGTCGAGACCGCGGTGGATGATGCAGCTGATGTTGCCGCGGAGCCGGGCCAACTGGCTCAGTCCCAGCTTTTCGGCAGCATGGCTTTGAGTTCGGCGTGGGAGGCGACGCCGTCTGCGGCTAACGGTCTCGGAGACTTCGTCATGCTGCCCTGGCAAAAGTTCGTGCAGAACGTAGCAACAATTGAGGCGACCGCTCAAGAGGATGTCGCCATGGAGGGAGGAGTCGAGGCCGAAGCCAAGGCTGCTGCCCAGCCTGAGGCGCCTCCGGTCGAGGAGGAGTTCACCCTGAAGGCCGGCACGAAGCGCAGGGCCCCGGCGCAAGAGGAGTCAGATGGCAGTGACGACGAATCTGGATCGGAAGAGAGCTCTGTCGACATCGTGCTGGAGCGGGCAGACGGTACGCCCAGCGGCAAGAGGGGCAAGACTACAGAGGGTGACCGCAAGGCGAAGGTCGAGCAGAAGAGGGCCGACAAGGTTGCGAGATACACCGAGGATTACCAGCGTGCCCAAGCCGAGGTCGAGCGCCTTACGAAAGACGTCGCGGAGGATCGGGCATACCCGGTGCAGCTTGAGGAGGCGCAGGGCATCGCTTCGGAGAAGAAGCAGAAGCTGGACAACTACGTCACCGCGCTCG